GCCTCAACTGTCTCTTCCTGATATTAAGTATTTGTTTCCTTTTTGTTTCCATTTTCTCCAAAACCTTGTTGTTGCTCACATTTTCAATTCATGGCATCCTCAGCATCCTTCTTTAAAACCACATTTCTGTTGCTTCAAGTCTCCTCTTCATCTCTGAGGAGATTGTCCAGCACTCACTGCCATACAGGAGGACAGATATATGGCATTACTCAAAATTCTCTCTCCACAAACATGAAAGGCAAGTGAATTGTAACTTTGATCAACTCACACCATACCATGATGTGGTCATGTGTTGTGGGTGAATATTATGCTCTGAGAGATATCACACCACAAGTCTATATTGCACATGCAAACAACCATTATTTTCATGAAGCAATAATCTACTCTCAACACTTGATCTCCCTAGGTAACTTTCTCATAGCACAACTGGAAATGTTCTCAACAGTGTTATAGCATCAGTAGAAGAGTCTTGATCAAGACAACCAATATTCCTGCAAGTAAAACATTCCCAACAGTGAATGTTGGCAATTGTAAAAATATGATAAATGATTTACATGATATATGATAAAATCATTTACAATCCACTTAACAACATGGGTATTCTAACCAACTGAGCAATGTCCTATTGTATCATACTAGTGCAAAGTGAAAGTCACTCTCAAAGCTATTAAAGAAGGAAAATCATAGTAGCATTTAAGTTGAATTTGATAATTTAAGCACTGAATTTTGCTACTTTTAACCTAGAAATTTTATTGCTGAAACTTGCTAGGACAATCTATATTGTACATTGAAAATCAAGAAAAAAGGGATTTTCAGTGATCAAGAATTAATACATGCATTACTGATAGAATATATATATATATATATATATATAATTTAAATTTTTATAGGATTCAAAATTTGCAAAAATACTTCCTCTCTGAATTTCTGGGATTGCTTACATTATTTACATGCAAACTATTGTCTCCATTTTTGTTGTTGTATGACAACAATGAAGATGGGGACAATAGTTTGCATGTAAATAATTGAGTATGTACTGCCCTTTTCTGCATAAAGAAAATAAATGTATTTTTTTTTTTTTCAGATTCTCTTAGTTTTATCCAGAGAATTTTAAAGCTTGAATCAGTCTGTATCACTTCCTTCAAAAGAATTTTAGACTTGAACCGACAGGAAAAGTTTTACATATAATAGAATTTGCTTTCCTCATGTCAAAAATGACTTAATCTCAAAAATTAGAAAAAAAATGTTACTTTCCTTTTTCCAGATTCGAACAGTATAAAAATACATAAATAAATTTACTAAATGCATGTTGCTTTGTTTTTGCTATAATCTATTCTAAATATGAATGAATTCTGTAAATATCTAACATTATACAATGAAATGCTGAAAAGTTCTTGCAACAATTACAAAGGAATCCTTCACCAAAAAAAAATGTTTTGGTCATTTCATCATCTACTTGTACTACATTTAGGAGTGATTTTGGAAATTAATTCTGTCTCAGAATACATAGGAATTATTGGTTACATTGAATAATGCTATTCAATTGATTATTGATCTCTGAACCCAGAACTCTTACACAAGCTGTACACTTGTAAAGTGCATGTGAGACTAAAACTGTTGCCAAATGTTATTCTTGTATAAATGCCAAAGCCATGAACTAAAGGAGAAAAACTTAGGCATATACAGTTCTAAATACTATTACCCTCTGGACATACTTATTAAGAAATCAATGTTTATCACCATCATGTCACCAGCTATCACATGAAAACAACAATATGGCAGTTCATTAACAGTTGTAAACAAATGTCAGCTAAAAAAGTTTTGGAGGCATTATCAAAATTGCTTTATTTCTTTTTACTGTTAGCTGTAGTTTAAATGTACCAGTAATTTTTTAACTTCTGCGTCATCAATTTTGAAATTTTTTTTCCTATTACTTCAACCCTAAAATGGCTAGTGCTCATCCAGCTAAGAGAAAAAGGAAATTGAATGAAGAAGGGTGAGTACTTCAAGAAAAGTGGGAATTATGGTATTTTTACACAGTGGTGAATGACAAGATACATTGTTTAATTCGCAAGAATTCTATCACCATGCCAAAAGAGTACAACCTGAAATGAAACACACCAGCTCTCTTCTGATAAATATGAATGTGCATTTCAAAACTCAAGAAATTAAAAATTCAGAAACAGAATGTTGCTTCCATTACTTGCAAGCTATGAACTCAGCAGAATGATAGCCATGAGTGGGAATTTTTAAAAACAGCTGAAAATGTATGTCCAGAGAAAGCACACTTATTCAGACATTTCATTAGCTAGGAAAACTGTTGCTGAATGGATTGATGAAATGTCAGGTGATTTGAAACAACAGTTAAAGGCTGTATCACCAAAGGTTTGAACATTTTTCTATTGATATTTATGAGACTGTGATAGCTTGCAATCAGGGCCTGTGAGAGTGGATTTAATATTTATGAAGAACTGACTGAACTGGTTCTCATGCATGACAAAACAAGTTAGAACATCTTTGAGAGAGTTGAGCAGGTTCTGCATGAGTAGAGTTTTGATTTGAGTAAACCTGCATGCTTATCTACTGAAGGTGCTGGGAATATGGTTGGCATACATAATGGTGTTGCTACCAAGTTACAAAGAAAACTAGAAAACTCACATCCAGATTCATCATTTGCACATTTTCACTGTATTATCATCAGCAAAATTTGTGTTCAAAGATTTTAAAATTGGATCAAGTACTTAGCTTGGTCACAAAGTGAACTATATTAGAGGCTGTGCTCTCAACTAGTGTCAGTTCAGTCAGTTGTTGGAAGATATGGATAATCAGTTCACCGATGTTCTATTCTACACAGAAGTTAAGCTTGGTTAATATTTTAAGTTCTACACTTTTGGTTGAAGTATCAGATCATTGCGAAAGTTTGTGCCCAATTTTCATTGTTAATATAAAAGGACTGCAACTTGACAATGGGATTTGTTTTAGTGCAGATTTCTGATGTGTTCTAGACTGAAACCTTGCATCATTCAATTATGAGTCAGACTTTGTTTAATGTGGATATTTTGTCTGCAAATAAAAGATGGAGGATGAAAAGCTGCAGTTTTGCATATGAATTTTAGAAAGGAGTAAGCATCAGAAGTGTGACAAAAAGCATTGAAAAGTTTTATTTGGATTGTGCTACAACTTTTCAAACAGCCAAAAAGTGTTTTGGCAAATTTCAACTGTGATTTTAATCTAAGTAATCAATCATGCTCCAGGTGAACATCCAATGTCGTGGAGACACTTTGCTTGCCATCGTGGATAGTAAACTAAATATTTTGACTGAAGAGATTGCTAAGAGTTTGAAAATCAATATTTCAACTGCTTTTTGTCATTTAAAGAGACTGGCGTTCAAGAAAAAAGGTCAACTTTGGCAAATTGAACAGGTGTCATTGTCCACTAGAACAACAGAAGGCCATATGTTAAGAAACAAACCTTGCAGAAGCTTAACAAATAATAATGGTAAATGTTCCAACACCCACCGTATTTTCCTGACTTGGCTCCTTCAGATTTTCACTTGTTCTGCTCTCTACAGAACATTTTAAATGACCAAAAATTTGACTTTCTGGAGTCAGTTGAAAACTACATCACAACCTTCTTCCAACAAAAAACATAAGGTTTCTATGAAAATGGCAACAACAAACATGTAGAACGATGGGAGTCAGTTGTTAAAAACAATGGAGACTGTACTTGACTAATAAATACTAATGTGAGTATGTAAAATTTTGTTTTTAATTTTCTAATCAGGCTCAAACTTTTGCATTGATCTAAGATCTTCTTAAAGTTAGTCCTTTCTTCTAGGTTTTCTTTGCTACCTTGTCTCATGGTGCCTGCAGCTTTCATATGTTACCATACAACAAATTGTATTCCGATATTAAAGATTAATTCTGAATATGTTCCCATGCTCAGAATTAGTCTTTATGATCAGAACACAACTTTGAGATGTAGTTAGATTCTTAATTTCCGACTCAATATGGGATATTTCTGACTCCGGATCGATACAACTTTGTTCCTGACTAAAACAACATTAACAGCGCTCCAGGCAATCTTCTGACACCGATGAAGATGCTATGCTTGCCGCCGTGGATAGTAAACTGAATATTTTGACCGAAGAGATTACTAAGAGTTTGAAAATCAATATTCCAACTGCCTTTTGACATTTAAAGAGACTGAGGTTCAAGAAAAAAGACCAACTTTGGCAAATTGAAAATGTGTCATTTTCCACTAGAACAACACAAGACCTTATCAAACAAACCTTGCAGAAGCTAAAAGAGTTGAAATGGGGAAACGTTCCAGCACCCACCATATTCTCCTGATTTGGTTCCTTCAGATTTTCATTTGTTCCACGCTCTACAGAAAACTTTAAATAACCAAAAATTTTGACTTGCTACAATCAATTGAAAACTAACTGACAATCTTCTTCCAACAAAAAAAAACACAAAGTTTCTATGCAAATGGCATCAACAAACTTGTAAAACAATGGGAGTCCGTTGTTAAAAACAATTGAGATTATATACTTGACTAATAAATACTAATGTGAAAAAATGTAAAATTTTGTTTTTAATTTTCTAATTTAGCACAAACTTTTGTAATGATCTAATATTTGCGCATTTTTAGCCAACATGAGTAGTAAATGTTTGTCACAATAAAAGCCAAGAGTTAAAATGCCGATTTATTTTTCATTTTATTTTATTTTTTCAAAGTAGACAGTGTAGACAGAAGACTGGGAATATTGGTGCTACACAATCTTCTTACCCAATATTTACTTGTATTAGGAGTATAAGATATTATCTTTCAAACTTTTTTATGGGAATTGTATCTTTAACAATTTTATCTTTAACAATTTTTTTTAACAATTGTATCTTTAACAATTTTTAACAATTTTAATTCTATTTTGTGGAATTTATCGTTTTATTTTTTATTTTTTTTTTCCCCCTAAAGAAATATTTTCATCCTTTCACCAGGGACGACAAGGAGTTGAACTTGGACCAAAAGCCTTGAGAGATTTTGGATTGATTACATCTTTACAAAATTTAGGTAAGTACAAGTATTGCTGTATTGTTAATCCCCAAAATAATTCAATATGAGGAGGGTTAACCAAAATTGGGGACAGAAGAGTGTTTTCTATTTTCAAGATTTCTTAAAAAGCATAAGAATGGCTGGAACAAGGATAACTTAGTGAATAACTAAGAGGAGATAAGATTTAGTTTAATTATGAAATGTTCTTTTTATCCTACCAACCTAAAACTAATTTGACTAAAATGTTTTGGTAGGCATCAGATTAGCTACTTTCTCCATTGTCTGAACACCATCTTTAATAGGCAGGCATGTATAATAAAAAAATTATATAGAAACTATTTGTTTATATAAACCATAATTGCTAAGTTGAAAGAGCTTGTAGCAATTACTATATTTGATAACATATAAAACCTACTTTTTCTCAAAATATTACAATTTCATAAGCTTGTAAAAAATGCAGAAAAAGAAACATTTTGAACTGAACCAAATTGTTCCATTAATAAATATTCAATGCAGCATTTAACATTTATTCTTCCTTAATATTTTCTGCTAAAACTGATGATAGGGGTTTTATATGCCATCAAATATAGTATTTTTATGTCAATATTGCTAAAAACATTCACTAGTAAATTGTTTTAAGTTTAACTGCAAATGTTAAATTTTTATACAGTGGGTACTCCATACTTCTAGTGTATGCTTTGGTTGTCTTTAAATTTGATTTACATTTATTTAGCATAAATTTCTATTGATTCAATTTCAAATCTATTAAGAATTATTCATTTTTTACTAGTATTTCTTTTTATTTTAAATTCAACTGCTTTTCATTGCAATTCCTCAAACTGTTATTCTGCATGCTATTTACTAATGGTAGTAGAATGATGGTCTGAGTAGATGTGATAAAAACATCTGAAAGAAATATTTGTATAATAATAATACCATTAATAATGTATGTAAACACCTGATGACATTAAAATATGCCAAGTGAGGATGGAGAATAAGAAATTAATTCATATAGTTAGATTTGATCTTCTATTGGCTGTTTAAAATGTACAAGCCTACCATATTATAAGCTACCCAAGACAAAACAGATGCATGTTTGAGTTTCACTGAGAACTTATTCTTAATTTCTTATCCATATGGCTTACTAAGTGCCATAGAATGATGGTCTGGGTAGTTGTAATTAAAAGCAACTGAAATTAAGATGGAAGAATTTAATATTTAAAGCATAAACCACAAGCAACGTATGATAAAGATTGAATATAGGCTGACAATCCTTCACTTTTGAAAATGAAACTTGAGATGTCTCAGTTTTATTTTCTATTCTTCATTTATCTTTTATTATAAATCTATTGACCATTTAAAAAATATATTTTCCACCTGGAAAAAATGTTAGTTAAAGGCTTAAATGCACATTTTCTATTTTCTGAATGTGAACTTTATTAGTTTTACAGTTTTGTACCAGACTAAGTAAAGTTTAGTAAACTTTTGTATTTGTCAAATATATACATAAGCAAAGAGTTAACAGATGTTAATTGTTGTACTTAAAACTTCTGCTATTATAGCAATGACTATCAGTTCAATTTCCTTTCTATCTAAGTTGGCCAAATTCTTTAGCAGCATTCACCTCAAACAATTTCTGAACTAAATATACAGTTACCTGCTGTGATGGCTTCTTCACTATCACTATCAGTATTAATTTTGTGGGCATCTTTGTGAGTATTGCTCTCTGGTCTTTTAAAAAAACAATTTGACAATGTGTATAGATAGTCAAAGTAGCATTTAAAAAATTGTATTGATTTTTAATAAAAATTATTTTTATCTTGATTGCAAAGATTTATTAAAATTCCCTTCCTGCACCCTAAGTTAAATTTCCCATTCCATACTTTTTATTTTTCCTTTAACATGTAGATTTTTTTTCAATGCGAAGTGTTTTGAAAAAGTTCTTTTTTTTCATTATGGTTGTTAGATGTAACAAAAACAGAATTTTTGAAATGCATCCTGAAAATAACTGCTTTGTTTTACAGTATAAAAAAAGAAAATTCTTGTACAAGCACTAAAATAAATTGTTTAAAAACACATTGGATCTAAAGAGTACTCCTCATTAAAGATTATATGAACACAAAATAAACAAATCCTAAATATGGCAGAAAATAATTTTTGTTAACTTGCTGAGCATTCAGAATTCATGGAATATATCTAAAAAAAAAAAATTCATATTAATTTTTATCCTTGGATTATGTAGAGGAAAGATTATGGAATCTCCTCATAATTTTTACATCAAAAACAAATATCAGAACCAGTTTAAATATGCAAATAAAGCTGCATTTTAAAGAGTGCTAGGAAAAGGAAATATGGGTTGAGCAAAAGAGCTCTCAGTTGAAACAATGAGATGCATTAGCAAATTCTTTTTGAGAAGGAAATCCAGCTTGGTGTTGTAAAAAATATTGATTGTTCCAGTAGCTGTATGTAAAATTTGTTTTGAATATAAACAAAGTGAGAAAGTGGACTATGAAATATGTCAAAGCATGAAGACAGAATGTTCAAAGTAGTGGGACTTGAAAATAGAAGATTTACAACAAAACAAATTGGTGGAAAAAAAGGAGTCTATGTTCATAACAGAACTGTAAGGAATCAATTGAATGAAATGAAATTTAGAGAAAAGCCAAATGAAAATATACACTAACACCTCAACAAAAGAAAACAGTTACAGTAGGCTACAAGAAAAGCAATATTGGAATGTGGATTATTAGTTGAAAGTGATATTCAATAAAGAACATGACTACATTGATCAAGGCGATGATGTTAGAACTTTTATCTGATGCCATTCCATTAAGACAAATAAAGATTACTGCCTGAAGAAAACAAGCAAACTCATGATATGGGGTTGAATGTCATGTTGTTGTATCTCCAATTTCATCACTTATAAAAACAGAGCTAAAACATTTAAGCATTTGTATTTATTGTTCAATCATATTCCTAACAAATTCAAATCAATCTTGCCTTTTTTTTAGTTTTGTTTTTTTAACACACACTAAACTGTACCTAAATGATCACTATTTATGCAGATATTGGCATAAGCATACTATGTGACAAAAATACTGTTTTTGAAATAAGAGAACACCCCCAACTTTTTAACGTTCAGAGCCTAACAGAATCAATCATATCACCTAAACAAACAAAATATATGCCCAAAAAAGACAAAGATCTTTCTAGGTGTATACATCACAAGGAGCTCAAATTACAACTCCCTTACGCCTACTGTTCAACCAGTATATTCCTTTTGACTCCAGTGACTGGAAATTCTAAAATTCTCATTATCACTCATGATTCATGGCAGTTGGTTAATCTACTCTCCTTACATTCTTTTTCTTATCAAAAACATTCAAACACACACACACACACTTTAACCTTTTTCAACAAGTACTATAGTTATAAAAAGAACTTTTATTTGTAACTTAAACATAAACAAATATTTATTTTTATTACAGAAGTATGCTGAAGCTTAATGTAGCACTTTTTGTAGATGTTAGAATTTGGCTAAAAATTTTGTATGTTAGAATTTGCTAAAATTTGTTTCATTGTTTTTAAAATGCCTGAATTCCCTTGTCTATCACATTTATGTTATTTCTTATTATTTTCTCGTTATTGCCCAAAGATTTAGACTAAGCTGAATATCAATTTCCTTTGCTACACAGGTAAAGCACCAGATGAGATAGTAATCATTCCCTCAACAGTCAATAAATTAACATTTTGGACATTTTTGTTTTATTTCATCAGTAGAAAATTTGGTGATAAAATGATAGATACATCTTGTTGCATTGCAAAAAACTATTAAACTTTTCTTCAGAAAAAGAATATCAACTCAATGACAAGGTCAGCAAACAGTCTGCATCTCAGTTCACTTGAAAATCTATGGTAGAAATTTAAAATAAAATGATTATGGTAATCCTCTATCCTGCAAAGTTGGAACAAGCTTGTTGCAGAATATTGTTTTTCATTAGTGAAGTCCATACTTCAAAGAATCCAAACAATCATGAAACCTGAAGATGAGTCACAATTTACTTTTGTTTTGATAATGATTTCATCATTTCTGCCACAGCTAGAACATATCAGATGATTGAAAAGCATTATCACCAGTACAATGTATATTGGAGTAGAAGTTGATCCATTAAGATTCTGAGGTCCTAATTCAGATTTTGGCTTATATTTATAGGAACATCTATAAGGACATGTTTATATATATATATATATATATATATATATATATATATATGTGTGCAATCAATTTACAAATTCATGAATTATACACACACAAACAAATGCAAAGGTTAATGATTTAATTGGCGAGAAATCCATCATCGCAAACAATTCAAATAATATACAAAAACCTCCGAATCCGTTATGAATGAAAAGATCCTTGTTTCTATAAATTTTTGCCGTATTAGTTCTTATTTTTACTACAAGCTTTCGTCTGTTCCTACAGACGTCTTCAGGTATAGAATAGATGTTGTTCTTGTTTTTTCTCTTAGTAATAAGAGGACAACGAAAATATATGTATTGTTGTATCCGAAAATGCTATTGGAAATGAGTTTTTGTTTTTGGAGCACGCAGTAGCAACGCTGAGTTTGATTTTAAATTTTTATATATAAAATTTTTAAATATAGAAACAAGGATCTTTTCATTCATAACGGATTCGGAGGTTTTTGTATATTATTTGAATTGTTTGCGACGATGGATTTCTCGCCAATTAAATCATTAACCTTTGCATTTGTTTTTGTGTGAATAATTCATGAATTTGTAAATTGATTGCACGTTTATCGTAATTAAAATAACTGATCCAAGTGCGACTTTTGGATAATAAGTGTGACATTACTGTAATTATTGAACAATATAGTTCATGCCACTTTGACAAAAAATTTACCAGTAAAAAAATTCGTTCATCACCATATTTGTACATGAACGCACAATTTAAAAAAATTTAAAATCAAACTCAGCGTTGCTACTGCGCACTCCAAAAA